GGAATAATATGACATGTAGAATGTTGAAAATTAAAAAATAATGAATGATTTGTTTTGTTACACCTATCATAAGATTTACTTCATCCTCGCAAATGAAATTAACCAGGGGTGTCCCGACCCCGGGGCGACGGGGGCAGGACGCCCCCCTCCAATCATAAGAATTTTGTATTAAGAAACTATACAGAAAGTTCTTGAGGAAACGAAGAAAAAAATTTAAAAAATTAGAATTTTTTCTCGAAAAGCTAGATCAAAAGTAAAAGTACATTAGGCAAGATAAAATGATATTAGTCATCCACTGGACGATTAACATTCCTCTGTAGATGTCATTACACAATAAAAAGGTAAGCGCCAATATATTTCCACACTGCATTGGTGCTGAGACGATAACAAATAACAAATCTGCTTGGTCGATACTTTTTATTTTATCGTCTTGTCTTTATCATTAGTTCTGATTAGAAACTATTGAAAAAATGCGTAAGTTGCTTTATATCGTAACTTCATCTATTTCTTCTTTTTGTATCTTTAAATATACACATCATGTCATATTGCAATTGTAGACAAAAATTGGTGAAAACGTAAACAAAGTTTTGAAATTATATTAATGTGGAAGTATTTCGGGAAAAAAAGATCAATTGCTACTGGAACTAGTATTGATGGTTTGCATAAATACTTTAAACCATTACATGAAATTTCTAATCATCAAATTGCATCATCAACAACGCAATTAGTAAACGTCAATAACGAACGAACAGATGATTCATTCGCATTGTCTCCCCCCCCTCCCCCCAACAGCACGTCATCATCATCACCAGTTACAAATACACTTGAATCATCTAAAAATAATGAAAAAATACTCTTATGCACATCTTCAGAAGTTGCTTCTGTTATTGAATCCGATTTATTAACCGAACCTGGTCAATCTGTTGTTACTTCTGATTCTCAATTAGATATTGATATTCATTCCTATGCATCTGAATCGGTTCAGAATAAATGTAAAAGTTTCTTTTCATAAACAAACGATTAATTATAACTTGATTGTCTTTATGCTACGTGAAATAGGTGCTTCTCAAAATCAACACACTGTAATGGAATACAGCGAAATGGATCAACGTGATCAAATTTCTGCTAAATTACTCGAAATTGAATCTCATGTTAAATTATGCGAAGGTTTAATTAAAGAATCTTCTCGTATTGATACTCCACATAAATCATTTGTTGAAAAAGTTCAGATATTTGTTATTCAATTGAAATCTTTTGTTGATACACTTGGTGTCAGTTGTAGTGAACAAATTGAAAAAATTAATTCACAATTTTCTAATCTTGAATTTATTACTCCGAAATCAAATGATATTATTTCACGAGATCCTGGTGAGTAATTTTAAACTAATTATAAAATAAAAGTAAATTAAAATGTATTTTTTCAAAAGCTTATTGGCCAGTAAATGGTAAATTTACAGAAGAAGAA